CTAGCTTTCTAGCTGGCAGTGAGTACAGATATGTCAAAGTTGAACTTGGTTGAAATTATTGACATATTTCATCGATCCAGTCTTGAAAATGATCCCTGACTGAAGTTTTGGGCTTGAGTACATACGGTACTGTGGCACGCGAACAATAATTACGAGTGGTAGCGCTGATACTGTGGTAAATGTTGTTAAGGTCACTAATTTACATTCCTATGAACATTACTACTGCTGCACCTAAAACAGGTCACTAGTACTGCATCTACCACTCCAAAGCTGGTCACTAGTGTTACACCTTCCCTCCTCAGCAGGACACTAGTATTGCACCTTCCCTCCTCAACAGGACAATAGTATTGCACCTCCCTTCCTCAGCAGCTCAGTATAGTGTTGCATCTTTTATGTATATAGATCTCGGTTTACACGCAGTAGTCGTTGCGCTACTTCTGCTCCCGCGGTAGTATAGGGACCGCAGCCGATCCTTCCCTTCGCATGATGGTTTATTAAATTATTTTTCAAATTCACTGCAATTGATTAATAGCAAAAAGTTATAGGAACAAACAAGGCAACTTGAGATTAGAACGACGTCATTGAGTTGATGGGAGTGGATATTTTTCAACAAGTTAAGTGTTAAGATATTCAAGGAACCAAAGGCACGAGTTTATGGAGCTTAGCCTGACGTTGGACGATATTAGGATAAATGAAGGAAACATTCATTTATTGCCGAATTTTAGCAGGAATTAGAAAGTTTCTGTTGTCAACAATGACAACCCTTCATGAATAACTTAATTTTATAATACCATTAAGTGTGAAAAAAGCAGATTACATAATGAGCAATTGTTACATAATGAGTAATTTTTCTCAGAATAATCATCGTTTAATTATATTTGTCATGAATTTTAGTTGATACAGTTGGAGTATTACAAATATCTTGTAGGGCTGAACCCGTAAATTCATTTCCAAGTCTGCAATTCACAGAATTAGCTGGAGGTTGGCAGAAGGATGAGCGTTATCGTAATCATTATTGACCCTTCGACACGAGATTATATTTTGTTATTATCATGTAGTTTTGTTTATGAGTTGCAGTTATTGGTAAAATTTCATCGGCTCTCTTTATGCTCCAGCTAATGCGGCTAGAGTTGCTATCTGTTACATTTAGGCAATTTCTGAAAAAATAATTTTAGTTCTGACGCAGATAAGCGGTTGATCTTGGTCACATGATTTGCCTTTATCTCAATGTTGAATGTTGATCGTGGCTATAAAGCCGATCCTGTAATGTAAACGATCGTGGCTATAAAGCCGATCGTGGCCAAAGCCGAGTTACAGATCCCGGCAACAATGTTGATTGTGGCCCACGCCGATCGCTTGATTTTTAATTGCTAGCCATAGATATTGATTCTCGTCAATCGAAGATGATAGCCGTGTCGCCATATTCACCTTCATCTTTTATTTGACGTGCCATATTGTAATAGGTCTAAAATTAAAGTAACGGTGATATGATTATTCATTCTCGTGTTAGGTGATTCCGCCGTTTAAGTATTTTCTGCTGAAAGCTGTGATCTAATTTCATCCCTCTATGCCTGTAAATTAGGGCATAATGGGTATTTATTTCTTTCCAAATCTCCAAAGTCCAATTGCATTCTGAAGGACGAAACAGTCAACTTAGCAATCCTGTTACTAAAATTTGGATATTAATATTAAGATATCGTTTAATCCAAATTCAATAACTGTTCACATTTCATTCTCTGTTCACTTCATTCACTGTTCATTAACCTAGTTTGTGACTTAGAAAATTGGTTTCTGGCTCTTACCAATATTATTGAGACGCGAGTGAAAACTGTTGTCTGAAATGAAATTATTTATAAGTGGGCGTGGTCTATATTGCAATGGATAAAAGAAATGCTGACCTGGATAAGAATCCGGTTCGAGTTATTATGCTGAAAATGTGACTTGTGTGGAACTACATAATTATTCTATATTATTCTATATATGAAAGTATTAACTGCAAAGTAGGATATATGTCCGAGACTCGCTGACTTAACAACTATTGATTAACCTTCTTCGATATTTTCATTTTAAAGGTGTAACATGAAAACAGTTATACCTTTACAGTTATAACAGTTATTGCCACAGTTATTACAGTTATATACAGTTACAGTTATTGCCAAAGTATATTATGGCTACGAGTTGAAGCTGTTCACGGTGAAGCTGTTAGAAAAAACGGTGAAAAAACGGTCCCACCGGCATCCTAGTGGCCGGTCGCTCAGTGAAACTAAACTGTTTTGCCGTTTTTATCAAATGTTTTACGGATTTCTGGTGTTAAATTGGAATAAAAACAATGAAACGGTGTTTCTTTTCACGTGCCGACCGGCCACTGAAATGCCGGTATTACCGTTAACGGTCATTTTTCTAACAGTGTACGCAAAAAATAATTTCTTTATGTGGTGTATTCTGTTTCTCAACATTGTCTTTTTGAGAGCCTAATTATTGGATTTTAAGAAGGGTGTCAAAAGGGTATCTTCATCCGCGCCTATGCATTAAGAATGATGCAAATTAATTAATTAACCTACAACTATTAATTGAGATGGCAATTATTAATTATAGATGAATTCAAGAAAGTACGAATTGGTTCGAGGTATAATTTCGTTCCTGTATTTCCATCCAAATTTATTTCTGACATGCTTATCTGGGGCGTGAATTGCCTGCATTATATTGCAATAGGAAGGTTAAAAGTATAGTGTGAACGAATTATTTAAGACTGTCGGAAGGGGGAGCTGTCGTCCACTTGCTGTTGTGAGGTCTCACCGGCTCAACATCTCATGACATAGAATTAATTGACTTTTAATGTAACTCTCTCTCTCTGTAAACAAACTTTCAATCATCAAATTAAAATCATAACCAGGCTTTAGAATTATTTTCAAATATTATTATTTTTCAATGTTTTATGCCTTGATTTTTTAATTGAGCAAACTTTGTCCAATACTTTGAAATTATATGAAAACTCTGCTTAATATTGTTTGGGTTCAAGTTGAATAAGTAAAATTCATCTCCAAAAATTTAAATTGTCTGGTATTTCACCTCTGAAGTTTTGAGAAATTACATAAAAAGGGAAAGGATGCGAATAAAGAAAAATAAATGCGATTTCAGTGAAAGCATTTGTAATTAAAGAAAAGTAATTTTACGTTAAACATGGTTCACTAGGTCTGGTACATGGAAGTTTTCCTTTTTGAAAATATTTTAGGAAGGACTGTCTTCTGACAAACATGCGCCCAGCTGTAAGTAAGGCAATCGTATTTTTGGCCAGAGCGAAAACTTGAGTCTCTATTCCATGCACTAAACTGCAGATATTGTACTTCTTAAGATGAGCCGATAATTTTTCAATAGGAATTCTATCCATTAAATTTAACAACACCATAGTTTTCAATACCGAAGTTTTCATGTTTTCAAAAGTAGGCCATTATAACATTTCACAGGCACATACTGTACCTCTTCTTGTTAAAGCACAAATTAAATCGTTCAGGTCAAAAAAGGTTCCGCGTTGTCTAGCAGACTCTTATATTATTTAAATATCATCTTCATATGAAGAATAATTGCACCTCATTTGTTTTTCTTATTTGAAATTTTGTTAAGATTATCTGATTGGTTTAAATGTTTGGACCAAAGTTACCAAAATTCTGGGCGAAAGTGATAAAGAAATTTTAAACATCATTTTTCCGTCAAAAGCCTTAATACAATAGAAATACTTGAAATAGAATCTATAATATTATTACACATTCAACTTTTTATAGCTCTTCAATAATTAGTGTTTACACGTGAAAGTTTGGCAGGATACAAATTTTAACACTTTTTCATAGTGGAGATGGAGCAGTGGAGCAGTACCGGTGAGTTGGCTCCATAGAAATATGGAGCAAAACCCAAATAGTATCAACAATCAGCCAGTTGTGTTCCCTATCCAGTGATGCATGAAATAGATCGATAATTCATGACATAATCACACTCCTTCAACAAAACTTTCCATTATTGTTGGCTAAAGTTCTACTCAAAATCCGAACCCCTCCTAACAGTGAAAATTAATAAAATTTTCCAACATAAATTAAACTATAATGACGGAAGTTTCTGACAATTTACGCACTTTTCTTTACGTACGCCCCGAGATCAACCGAGTAGCAGAAGTCGGGAAGGCGAGCACGCTGCCCGCCGAGCACGAGCTTTTCGACGTATTGAAGTTGGCAAGCGGGATAGAGAAGAGGTAGAATTAAGAAGCGGCATACATCTTCGATGCCTGGCCTGCACACTGCGATTGGAGATCTAAAATCAATTATTTTTATTAGGAATACTTACCGTCTGCGAAAAATATCCCATGTTGACAACTTAAATTGCACTCAATTGCGAATTGCAAATACTCGGATACCGTCCTCGTACATACACCAATACAGAAGCTTCCAATATAGGACTAAACTACACTCGATATATAATGCTCAGCGTTTGTTGTAATATAAAGCGTATTTCAGGACAAAAATTACACAAAAAATTAGATTAAGTGAGAAAAAGCTTTGCAATTGTATCGCGAATGAGGCTTGTCACCTCAAAATTTGATAAATTTTATTTCTGGGGTTATCGTAAATTCATGAGTCAAGTTCTCGTCGAAGTGAACTCACAATTAAAGCGAATTTCATCTTCAGTTTATCGAATCTCGGAAGATATTAAAAATTTGTTTGAATGCGTACTGAAGATAAGTTACCTGAACAATTTCTAAAATCTTGAACACCATTTCTTGGACACGGAGGCCGCCTGAGTGATGGACACCGCCAGGCACCGCGTGTCCACGAAGCATCGATTCCAGCACACGCCTGAGTCAGCAAAGAAAAACAGCTGGATCACAAGATGTTTTTTTTTTGGTCATAAAAAACTGAAGACAATATTTAGACGATATTTTAGCGATGCTATAATACTGCAATGTAAAACGAATTAATGATTTTGCTTGCTATGATCTGTTATTTGAGGTGTACAAAATTGCTGTGCAATTTAAGAAGCTTCAACTTCAAACTTAATGTAAAAATTAGAATTCCAAAGTTCACTCCCGAACCGTGACTCCGGCTTTTCATAGTATCTGGTAGTCACGCCTTGTATTCGGCTCAGTCGCATGGCCGGGCAGTAGATCTTCAGACCCCATACTATGCAGACGCATCCACTTGCATCACGCAGTTAGCCTTCAGCTAATTTTCGCAGCACAGCAGTTTTGATCCTGGGCCCAGTGCACTTTAGTCGCTTGCTTATGTATCTGCTCTGCCCTTGTTCTGAGCTATCTGTCCGCCTGCGGAGACGAGGTGCAGCCTGACGAGCAGTACGCGACTTCGCTTGCTTGAATGTTCTTGGCGGTCGGCTTTGGGGGAGCCGCGATTGTTAGAGACCAAAGATCGTCGCGCTGATAGCCTGCGAAGGTGAGATCACGGTACTACCCCGGGAGTGCTTTTTTCTCAATTCAGTATGGAACTTGATTCCGATCTTCTGAGCACGTTCCAGTAAATAAAATACTTTATATAGTCTGATCACTTCACTATTCAAACAATTGGAATTCTAATTTATAATTTTTTTTGTGATACCTGCATTAATCTAATTCAATGTCAATTTTCTATATGCAGACGTGTAAAGTGGCGCTAAAGAGGAAGGTGCCTGGGAAGGAGTCTGGGATTCTTCTGAGCTCTTTGTTCTAATAAAATTGCTTTGTACCATGACTCTGGTCCATTTTCCTCATAATTTTAGTGCATGAGGGAGGCAGCTTTGAGGTATATCATCATAGAACATTTCCGTGACACCGGTTCTCTGGTGAATACATTTTGATGATATTTTTACTACCCTTGTAGAGAAACACAACATCCAGCTTGCGGGTCGATTTTATTATTATTTTTGTCACATTTTGTGAACTTTACTGCTGATGTTATTAAGGATTTGTATTATTCGTTTATTGTATTCTGTACTTACTTTCTTTGTGGCTGCAAACTGGCTTGGTAACCTCGACATTAGAACTTACACAGTTGTATTTTTATGTGTTTCAATGCTGTAAATAGAATTTCACTAAATTTTTCGTAATTGTTAGGCTGTCAGTTCATTTGGGCGTTTTCCTTTTTTTCGGAGGTATTCGATCATTATGCATTTGGGGTTGAAAACTTATGCTGACCTTCTTTTCATGGAGTCTGCCTGCTATACAAGAAGTTGGTAGATTTGAAGTTTCACTCGAAATTTCAGCGTTATTGTGAAAATTTAGCTATGTTATATTTTTTTTTGCTCTCAGTCATGGACAATGTTGCAAGTGTCACGACGAAAATTTTATCGAAAAAATATCCATATATCAACGCTTTTTCATGAATTATTCTAAAATACTGCTGTTCTATGGTCTCTAATTACAAACAAGGATACATAATTGCTCAATGTTTGTCAGAAGAGCCATCAGAAGTTAGACATTTCATATGTACGCGGAGAAAGTCTGGCAAAACAAAAAGATTTAGAAGAATGAAAATTCAAGGGAAGGATGATTTTCAAATTCAGAGATTAATTTTACAATTCGTGTGAAAAAAAAAATAAATAAAATTTGTTTGTTTAGTGACTGACATTTGCCCGGAGCCTGCAAGTAAGACGTGGGCCAATCCTGCGCGATCTTTACGTCGGTGAAGACTGAAGAGCGCCATTGCGCTCGCCTGAACTGCGCTAAAACTGCTCGCCAAACTGGCCAAGCAGAGCACGGCGGAGAACACGCCGCCCTTCTTGCACAATAATACCGCGATTCAATTTTCTACGTGGAACAAATTTAATATGCAAACCAATTCCAAGCCAATCATGAATTCCAGTTTACAAAACAAAAACGCCCCAATTGCTTTGTACATAATAGTCGACCGCATTTAAACTAATAGTTGTTCATTGACACATTTCTCAGTGAGACATTGACATGAATACGTGCCTTCTGTCGAACGGTATAAATAATCCACAACGGCTAGTCTCGTTGGAGGTTTTCCTCCTAATACACTGGCGAGTTGCAATTGCACAGAAGTTAAAATAAGGTGGGTTTGATAAAAATTATTGCAACGTCACTACATTTAATGTGTTTACGAATACAAAAAATTAACAAGATTCAACTCTTTCATAAAAAAATATTTCAGAGTATGCAAATTTTCACTGCTCTCCGATGTAAAAATTGATAGTAGCTGCGTGAAGATGTTCGTGCTGCACTTCCATTCGTCTTTACTATGTATAAATCATCAATGTTCAAAGTAAACCCGGAACTGTCTATGTCAGAAATTAAAGCATTTTACATGTTATTTTCGACCGGTATTCATTTATTCATAGAGTGAAAGAATTTGCATATTATGCAATCCTTCAACTCGAGTTGGTCATTTGTGGTTCCCTGCACATCGTAGTTATGTGAAACAAGGGTAGAAACAATGATGCTGCTCTAAGCCGACTTGCAAATTACTGTATAAATTCAAATATCATTCTAATCAACACTGTGAAACTACATAAAGTGGGATTGAAAATACGTCAAACTTCAGTTACTTTGTGATTCTTTTATTAGATTTGCACACAGTGATATTTTTTAAAAGCAAAACAATCTCCCTTAAGTTAGTACCTGTTTAACCTATAAGCATTGCGAGGACATCGATAAAAATATATGTTGATCAATTCTGATCTGTGGTTCTTGATGAAGACTATCATGGAAAATAATGTTTTTCGAAATTCAAATAGCATTTATAGTAGTAGATCCATGAGCTATCATTGACATGCAAATTGAATTGAATACATGCAAATCCCAAACAAGGAACTTGATTGCGTATTATCAGCGTGTTAGTCTGAATGAAAAAGGTCACCTAAACTTAGGGATAACTTCCCGGAGGTCGATGACGCAAGGAGTAGAAGAATATTAACAATTTAGCATCACCTATTAGCATGAAATTTAGAATATGAATTTTTAGGGTATTTAGGATCAAAATAAATTGTACGTGGATTCGTAGTAAGTAGCTACATATAAATATGCTGACATATAACTTCATCTGAATACGCGCATAAGCCTAAATTAGGTATTAAAATATTTTAATACATCGTTATAATTAAAGTTAGAAATAAATTAATCCCATTACTAATTCTGATAAACTTTACTTTCTGGTTCTTGACCTCATGTTTTCATGCGAAATTTAATAGTAGAAATTTCAATCAATGCGATCACCGTCGTAATTGCAGCCACAAAGGCAATAGTCAAGTCATAATTAAATTAATTCTGGAAAAATCATTATGTAATACCACAATTAAATTTCAAGATTTTTCTGAATTGCGCTTGCTCTTTTCTAACATATTATATGTATTTTACCACTTTCACCTGGCAATGCGAACATCATGAGTTGTGAGAAAGGGTCTTTCAAACAGTGCACTACTGGTAAATAATGGAATTTTTACTGTGCACTGCAGGTTATTTGTGAAGTTCAACAATGCACTGCAGGTTATTCAGGAAGTTAAACAATACACTACAGGTTATTCGTGAAATTAAACGATTCGGGAAGTTAAACAATGTACTGCAGGTTATTTGTGAAGTTAAATGTGTATTGCATGTTATATGTGAAGTTAAACAATGTACAGCAGGTTACATGCGAAGTTAAACGATGCACTGCAAGTTATCTGTGATGTTAAACACCGCACTGCAGGTTATTCCTGAAGTTAACCAATGCACTGAAGGTTATTCAAGAATACAAACAATACACTGCAGGTTATTAGTGAAGTTGAACAATGCAATGCACGTTTTTTGTAGTTAAACAATGCACTGTAGGTTATTCGTGAAGTTAAACATTCCACTGCAGGGTAAACGTGAAGTTGAGCAATGCACTGCAAGTTATTTGCAACGTTAAACAATGAACTGCAGGTTACTCGTGAGGTAAACAAGGCACTGTAGGTTATTCGTGAAGTCAAACATGCATTGGAGGTTATATGCCTATTTAAAGCAATGCGCTGCGTGTAATTTGCGCAGTTTATACTATGAACTGCAAGTTTTTGTGCAGTTTAAACACCCCCACATTAGGTAAATTGTGCAATTTAAACTGTGCAGTGCAGGAATCTTATGCAGTCTAAGCAATGCACTACTGGTAATTTGGGCAGTGGTACCAGTACATTGTAGTTCCTTTTAGTTGTTTGCACATGTACTGCTACTTATTTGTGCAATTCGAACATAAAAAAATGTTTTTGCATTCAACAATACACTACTGGTAATTTTTTTCAGTTCAAATAATGGTACAGAACTACCGACTTTTAAGAATGCATTCATATTGTAATTTGTTCACTGAACAATGGTGCAGAATAACTGTATTCAAATAATACATAACTGGTAATTTGTGCAGTTTGCACACTTGAACTAAAACTGAATTGTTGACTTTGAACAATTTATTACTTGTATTTTTAGCCGTTCGCACACTACTGGCAATTTAGATTGTTAGAAAAAAAGGAACGCTGTTAATATGTATTTTTCAAATATTTAAACAAAATTTTTGACTGTAATTAATGCATTTTATTTGCACAGTTTGAACATTTTTACAAATTTTCTGATGTGGTTTTGATTCTCATTTTAAACTCGTTCAAAAACCATGGCGGGTTTGTAGGCGGAATGTGTTTATACTGTCATTTTGAATATTTCATCGTTAGAGAAATTAGGTTTTTAATTAGAAGATCATTCATGTTTGGTGCACATTTCTCATCGACACTCTCTGAAATTTCGAAAGAACAGTTGCAGGTAAGTGAGTCTACTTTTACAAGGATTACAATCTGCTATTCTTACAAGGATTTTCATGTGACTTTATCGTTCGAAATTCATAGAGCGTGATAACTTTACCTGTCGTAATATATGCGCGAGCGGAATGTCGAGCAATTGGTTCCACGCAGTACAATGAGTACAGAGGAGAACTCAAGCTCACACCTTGTACTGGCAAACGAAACGGAAAGAGTTCGAGCACTCTTTGTCATTTGGCTCGTAGTTAGCATCGAGTCTAGCGCAGGCTAGATTAATGTCGTTTCCCAATTCTCCTCCAGTGGTTACACTTCCGTCACTCCAGAGCCACTTCCCCGCATTCAAATCGACCCACCCGGTGAGTCGACCCGGTGAGTCAAATCGACCCACCAGCCGGTTATTCCAGACTTGTCTGTAAATTAAGAAACACGCACCCAATAACTCATATTTATTATTTAATGGAAGTGTGCATTCATTGAACATATAATTTTATTGAATTTGGGATAGAAAACTGGATCTGCTTTCTTTTATTTCGATAAAAATCAATTATGTAAGCATTTGACGAATGCAATCATCACTTCATCAGGCAATATTTATCACGCACTTTGACGAATGTCAGGGTCAAGTTAGTGGAAAAAAATTCGAAGCTCCGTACGAGCTTCAAATAAACCATTCGTAAGATTATGCATCCGTCAAGCCTAGAAACATCCGTGGGCATTCATATTTAGAAGCGCACATATTTTTAGGAACGTATAAACAACTTTACTACATGAAGCGAATAGTGAAAATTCCAAAAAATTTAAGTACGTTTCTTCTTACTGTAATTCAAGTAAGATTCTTCAGAGGGAGTGAGGAAGATTATTATATGAATTTGGCCCTCTGGATAACTGTTGTGGATAAAATGACTCCGGGCAACGAATGATATAATTAGCATTCAAATAAGAGATCACAACAAGTGCAGCCCCATTTTATTTTGCCACATATACACGCCCATGCATTATATCCTCAGAGCAGTGAGCAGTCACCGATTCAAAACCCTAACGAATAAAAACATAATGCTGGATACAGACGAATACGAGTCCAGCTCCCAAACTGAGTGACTTCATATGAGCCGGACGAATGACTGAGTGAATTAATTGGCAAACGAAAAATGTATAGTGATACGCGCAAGAAACTGAGCAATTGAATGGTAATAATATTGTAAATCATTGCATTGTTTAGAGTTTACTTGCTACTTGCAGAATGAAAAGTTCATTCAAAATAGTTAGTTCCATCATATGAGGATATTTGTACCTACATGTATTGAAGATGATGAATTCCAAGCTTATATTCAGCTCAACTTTTGTTTACAGGCAGGAAATAAAGTCGTTTTCATGTTAATCTTTTTATTTTTTTTTTAATCGTGTTAAAAACTTAAAACTGAACCGAATAAAATTTCTAGGGATATCATAATCCTGTCCTTTAAATTCATAACTCCACCATGTCACATTAATCTTGAAGTAATGTGGCAACAAGTGTTTGTTTGTAAATGCACGATTTTAATTAAGGATATGAGACAAATGTAAGAAAATAAACAAGCAGTTTAAAACACCAATTGAGCGGAGTAAACGTATCAATGGAAATCCTCGACTTCACGTTCACTTTGCACCTAGAAAGAATAATTGAACCGCCTGTTTTTGACTCACTGCTGTTGAGGTAAGCCACGAGATCAGCCATTTGGGCAGCAGAGGATGGATAGGCGAGTACGCTGCCCAATGGGCACGAGCTTTTAGCCGTAGCAAAGTTGACTACATCGGTAGAGAAAAAGTAGCAGAATCCGCCCACAGCTTCAAAGCCTGGCTTGCACGCATCTGATGAGACATAAATAAATGTTAGCTAAAAATTATCCACATTTCTACCAAAAATATGCAATGTTACCAATGCTGGGGCCTTATTTATCTTCTGAATAGAATTTGAAGCAGTATTGCATTCAAATGTCTTAATTGTAGACTATTGAGAGGCTCATCGCTTAAAGGTAGAATATACCGCATTGGACTGTGGTTTGAAAACCCCACAATTTCACACGCCAAAACCTGTTGGATCTTCGCAACATTATGAAAGATAAGTTTTGTCAGGGTATGTTTTCTATTTCTGATGCATTTAGAAAAAATGCATTATTTTCCACAATTCTCTGTATTAAGTAGCATTCTGTATGAGGGCATATTAAAATTTGGCATATTTATCCTGAATAAATGCTATAACGACACTCCTGAAAGAATATCGAAGTAAAAAAATTTTGTAACAGGCAAATAAAAAATACCTTTTTTCTTCATGAAAGTGATGGAGGCCGGGTCTGTGATGAGTAAGGTGGTGAGCACCGAGGCGCTGCTGCTGAAGTAACACTGAGGCCGCCTGAGTGATGGACACCGCCAGGCACCGCGAGTCCACGAAGCACCGATTCCGGCACACGCCTGAAGCAGCAAGGATAAAAAGCGGGATCATTGCAACTTTTTAATTGCAATGCGCTACGGAGAAAATCATTCGGATATTTTGGTAATTGTTGAAATTATTTAAAAGAAGTTTCTCGTGGCTCTACTCCTATCACGTTGTTTCATATATTCGTCGTGCAGCGATCGTGCCCGGGTATCTGCGTTACATGAGGTTGAACAGCAAAATTTGATAAAATACTCATTTCATGACGTACAAATGAATTTGTGGAAGCTAAATTTCTTATTTGGGCCAACGCTCACAGCAACCCATATATATTGAGACTATAGTAGTAAAAAGAGGAAGGTCGATCAACTATCCGTAATTTTACGCTCTTAGTTATTATAAATTTTGATAGATTTGTCTTAGCAACATTTGGCACTCATACTCAATGTAATATTATCGCTTCAAAAATAACCTAAAAGGTTGCTTGACATCCATTTCTGTTCGAGTATTTGTCAGGAAACTTTTTGCGCTGTAGCATTATATCATGAGATGCGAACACCTATGTAGATCGTAGATCCAGTTGGTAATATGAGAATAATTACTAAAGTAAGTATTTACTAAACGATACAAAAAACTAGAATATTATAGCCTTTGCATTAATACCTCTTTTTGATTACTCACATGCGCTTGATGCCTCCAAGTAAGACGTGTACCGTTCGATCTTTGTGTCGGTGAAGAGCGTCATTGCGCTCGCCTCAACTGCGCTAATACTGCTCGCCAAACTGGCCAAGCAGAGCACGTATGAGAACAACATGCCGTGTGTTTTGAACGTCAACAGCTCGCACTCGTACTAGTTCCAGATCCGCATTGAATTTCAAATAAACTAAAATACCAACTACCTTGCTTCGATCATAAAACTAGAGTATAATACAACTTTTAATAGTAATTTAATGAGTCAGATTTAGCTTTATATTAGCTTTACCAATTAGCTGCCGATCTAGATTCAGCAAAATTAGTGTTCGCTTTGAGAGCATATGAGATATTATTATAAATGTACAATATAAAATATATTTCTGCTATATGACATTATATCAAGCTAATGAGGGGATTTACATGGCAACGGGCATTTCAAGGGAAAATGATTGAAATGGCATTATGAAGGAATGAGATCATAGATTTTTTCGTATTTTGTCGACTTTTTACATTGCATATGCATATAACAGCAATATTAATCGATCGTTTTAAATTCATAAATTAATTTACTCTCTCTATCTCATCGAATAATACAATGGTTCAAGGAAGCAGTGAAAAAATATCACAGAAATTTTATCCAAACCGTTATTTTGATACATCTTTCGAGTGCAGCTTCTTGAAATGAGCGCCTATATAACGCTCCAACCTAAACATTCATTGCAGCTGCCAGTAAATTCCACCAAATCCATCCAACAATATTATTGACAAATGCATTCAGTGACGATTTAAATTTTTAAATTCATCACGTTGCCAAGAATTTATCGGTTAATTGGCAGTTATTTCGGACAATTTTTTACTTAGAATTTTTTTTCTTTCGAGGACTGACATTTCTTACTTTTTTATACTGTTATTTTATTGGTGAATAGCTGCATTTGGCATTTTTTTCTGATTTAATCTTTGAAGGAGCTATAATTGATAAATTAGGGAACAAATTTCTGATAACCGCTGAACTTTATAATTGTTATGTAAACGAAAGTGAGTATTAATAGAAGAAGAGTTTCTTGCAGAGATCGTAAGCGTTAGCAACTACGGCCACTCAACTAACCACCCACTTGCAGAGATCGTGAACGTAAGCTCGATTGTTCCTATTGTGAATGATCCCTGTCAAAATTTACGCGCGGCTATCCTTCCGAATTCGGTTGCGACTCTCGGATTAGAGATGAATCAGATGCGAAATGGCCGCCTCTTCTATTTAGCCGCCAAATAGGAGCTATTTTGAGTAGTTTCGTGGAAAAAAATATAAGGGTCAAATGACACACGAAATCAGTGGCTGGTCAGGCCACCATTGGCTTACCCTGCTCAGTAGCTGGCACGAGTTTTTAACGCGAGCGTGCTTAGAAGTTCCCGCCATGTGGGGGTGTGTGGGGGTCTGCCTCCCGCACCCCCCATCCGGACAGTGCATTAGCCGTTGCAGCAGCCAGGCTGAGCCAGCAAGTAAGGCGCCAGTTTAGAACAAACCGTGAATCAGTACGTAGTGAAGAATGCTCAATGCTTATCGAAAAGCTATTGGCTATAGTTTTGTTTCCTTCAGAGAGCTTCAAACAATTTGATGGTAAATACCATTGCACTTGTAGACATTGAACAGTGCACATATATATAACGTACAGAGATTGAAATGCCCCCTCCCTTCCCCCCATAAGGGGGGAAGGGAGGGGGCATTTTTTTAACGCATTTTTCAGATTCGGCCGTGTCTGTCCCGAACGTATCAGGTACCAAATACGCGCACCCCACGATCGCCCCAAGCTCGACGGGTAATTTCACAAGATCCCATTTCGGCGCTTATTTCGCTCCGGCAACCGGAACCTAAAGCGGACATAGAGCTTCTAATTTACACCGTAACAAGAATTTGGGGCGTCCTTGTGCCAGCGGCTGACAGGAATAAAAGTTTCGATAGGGATGGAGCACATTTGAATTATTACACTCGTCCGATAAACAGTTGAGATCCAGGATACGTACTTAGCTATCTTCACGGAGAATGTTCAGTGAATTCATAAACAAAACTTGATCGTTGTTTCTCAAAATTTTTTTTCTTACAGTTATCTTGACATTGCTAAGCTGCCAGTTAAATTCGAACACTTTTCTTTGTAATTTCTACGAAGTGAATAATGTAGTATTTCATTTTCCGTGCCTACCTGGGTAATTTATTTTATATTACCCAGTGAAAATTTAATTTTGGTATTAAAAATATTCCACTAATTGAACTAGGTTTGAATATTCCTCAATCGTAAAATGTCGCCCAGTGTGAACTTAGTGTCTTAATTACCAGATCAGCTGAGCTGCACCTACGTCGTCCAGTTTTTGCTTTGTTCCGAGTCGTGGTCTAAGTGTGGCAATACAACGTTATATCACTTTTTATTGTAAATTATATTCGTTTTGTGTAATCACGTCTGCGGTTCAATCGAAAGTATGCGTCAGCAGCACTCGTACGACAAGGCTTTTTATGCCTAACACGTTGCCCATAGAAATCTTCAATAATTGCTGCAATTCACATGAGTTGTGAAAATCCTGCAGGGGGAAGTTCTGAAAGAGAATGATTAAACTCTATTACATTACATCAAGTTTCCAGCGATTAAATAGACTAACATAAAATTGGAAGACTGCTAAGCTTCAAGATATAAATTTTCAAATACTATTATGTAAGGAGGCATTCAGATTAAGCATTCAATTAAGTAAATTGTGAGAAATGATGCCTCATAAATTTTGGCATTCAAGGAAGAAATCATGGAAATACATGCCAAGGTATGTAAGATTTTTTACGTAAGAAGTATGAACATGGCCAGGAGTTAAAATTTTCTTGAAAATTTAGTAGCTACATATATTTCCGTTCGTTTTCTCGATTACTGTATTTTTACCGACAACCAGTTGAACTTGCCAGGCGCTACCCCGGAAAGCGACTGTGCTATCAAGAAAAATTTGGAACTATACGAACTTCTGTTCCTTAATTTAAAAACTGAAATTTAAGCTCAATCTTCATCAACAACAATGAACTTTTGATCAAATTTATCGACGAAAATCTGGAAGAAGAAAAGTTTCATCTTGGCTGTAATGAGGCAAGAAGAACAAGCTGTCAGTTCCTGACTTGATATTTTTCGCATTTAAAGCTTCACAGAATGGTTGAGTAATTTTTGGCTCTTTTTTTATTGTATATATGAAGAGAAATATGTATAAATATTCATCATCGACTTACACGAAATATTAGTATTGCGTGCATTTGACTTATTCCAGAGCAACACAATTCCAACTAAACTTTGATTAGTCGTCATAAGAAAGGACACGATAAATCATTTGTTTGAAAGTTAAGCGAATTGAAAATGTTTAATGCTAGAGAAATTTCACCTTTGATCGGATGATTAGGTTATGTAAAATTTATGCTAATGATTTGCTGACTTATTTGTTTCATTGTTATAATTTTATCATTGATTTATCGGTAATTTAGTCAGGTTGCGACCTTAGCGTTTTAGGCTTTACTCGGATATAAATTCTCTTATTAAATAGATTACAGAAAAAAAATCGGACAGAGAGAGGGTGTCAATGAAACACTGGTACGCTTAATATAACACTAGTAAATGCTATTTTACATCATGCGTTGACTAAAAACTCTAGTACACTAAAAGGGCTAATCCCAACATAATCAAAGTTGAAAATCTACCACTTTACAATTCACATCTTCTACATTTACCAGAAA